ATGGGAGGTGGTTATTAGATGTAAAAAACTAGGTCTTGGGATTGGAAACATCAAGAAAAGGAATATGGCATTGTTGGGAAAATGGTTGTGGAGGTTCACAGTGGAAAAGGAAAATTGTGAACAAAGATCGTGGCTAGCATACATGGGCTGGAAGATAACGACTGGGATTCTAGAATTATGGCAAGGGCTACATCTTCTCCTCTATGGAAATCCATCCATGATCTGCTTCTATCTTTCTCCCCTTGGATCAGGTACGGTGTTAACTCTAGCAATCGAATACAATTCTGGGAACATCTTTGGGTTGGGGTTTCACCTCCGAAGGACTAGTTTACTTCCTTGTATGCTCTATCAGATTTGAAAAATGAACCTATCTCTTCTTTTTTAGTTCCTTCAGACTCCACTTCTGGTTTTGGGTGGAACCTCGGCTTGCGAAGGGCAATTAGGGATATAGACTTGGACAGCCTCTTACCTTTATTAGCCATCCTTGAGAATATCTTCCTTAATCCTAATAGGGAAGACACCAGAATTTGGACCCCTGCTACTTCAGGAACCTTCTCTTGCGCTTCGTTTTTTGAAACCTTAATTTAGTCATCTGTCCCTCCTGGTGCGTCCTTCCCGACTAAGGGAACTCGGAGCAAGCCCATTCCTCCTTGGGTTGGGTTTTTTGTTGGGAAATTTTCCTGGAAAGAATAAATACAAATGATCTACTTCAGAAAAAGTGACCCAATTCTTGTTTACTTCCTAATGGATGCTCTCTCTGTAAAGATGATGGGGAATCCGATTACCACCTTATGGTTTCTTGTAAGGTTACTAAAACTTTTTGGGAGTGGGTACTCTCTCGCTTTGGGTGTACTTGGAACCCTCCTGAGAGTGTCCAAGGTATGTTCTCCCCTTCGTTTTTTAGATGACCTAAGAAGCGAGGGAAGATGATGTGGAGTATTAGGGCAGCAGTGTGTTGGTCACTGTGGGAGGAAAGTAACTCTCGAATATTTTCAGAAAAGGAAAGATCCCTGGAAGACCTATTAGACCTAGTACTTTTAAGGGCTGCCCACTAGCTAAAAACTATGGAACTGTTCTTTGACTTTCCTATAGCTGACCTGTTAAGAAACTGGAAAGAGATAGCAACCTCTACTCTATGTAAGAGGACTCTTAGTCCCTTGTGGTCCCCTCCTCCCTCCGGATTTATAAAAGTGAATTTTGATGGCGGTAGCATAAGGAATCCATGGCCCTCTGTGATTGGGGGAGTTTTTAGGAATGAGGAAGGGATTGTTATTGCTCTTTTCTCAGGCCCTATTGGAGAAGGAGACTCTCTTAGGGCTGAGATCCTTGCAGCTATGGAAGGGGTTCAAAGAGCAAGGGAACTAAATATCAGTCGGCTGATTTTGGAAGGTGATTCAAAGGTGGTGATTAGCTGGTTGAAGAAAGAGGACAGTGGCTTGTGGAGTTACAAATATGAAAATAAAAAACTTTTATGGCTATGTAGGGACATTGAGATACAATATAGCTGTGTGAAAAGGACTGCTAATTCTTTTGTAGATGGGTTGGCCAAGCAAGGGGTGAATAGGGAGGCTATATTTTGGGCTAATTTTTAATCTTCTTTCATTGCAATTTGTTGATGGGGAGCTAAGACTTTTTATCTCCCCCTTATTGTACCCAAAGCTTCATAAATCTTCTCTTAATTAATAAAGTTTCTATTATTGATAAAAAAAATTTCTCATCTTAGCCATTACCATCCAACCCATGAATGCTTACAATAGCTTTGTGCCACATCCTCTCTAAGTCTCTCTTAAAGGGGAGTCTCCACAACCAATTACCTGAAAAAGCTGTGTTTCTTAGGACAATGTTCCCTAATCCTAAACCCCCTTTCTTCCTTAGGTTTGCTAACTTATTCCCACTTTACCAGGTGATCCTTTTTTTCCCTCTCCTGGTTCCCAAAGAAAGTCTCTCATATAGTTTTCTAACTGTCCTACAGTCCAAGTTGGGATGTGGAAGGTGGAAAGGAAATAAATAGGAAGGTTTGCTAGTGTAGATTTTATTAGATTAATTCTTCCTCCCAACGAATTGTAATTCCTCTTCCAAAAGGCTAATTTCCTAGCAAACCTTTCCACCTTTGGTTTCCAAAACTCATTACTTCTAGGATTTCCTCCCAACTACAAACCTAGGTAAAGTATTCGCCATTCTCTAGTTTCACATCCCAGAACCTTAACAAAACTTTGCATTTTTCCTATCTTCCATGTTGAATCATGAAATCCCACTTTTGCCCCACTTGATTTTCAAGCTAGTTAGTCCCACGAATTCATCAATCAACAATTTCGGATTTTTCACCATTTTAAAATCCACACCCTCACAAAACAAAGTTGTATCGTCAACAAATTAGAGGTGGGAGATTACCTTTTGATTTCCTCCTATTCTCCATCCCTTAATCAAATCTTGTAGATTTGCTTTCATCATTTCTAATCTACTTAAAACCTCTGCCACTATGCTGAAAAGAAAATGGTACAGTGGGTCTCCTTGTCTTAATCCACGATTGGCTAGGAAAAAATCTTTGGCCACTCAATTGATAAGAATTGAGCTAGCACAACCATCGGTCCACTTTCTGCACTTTGGCCCAATCCCGAATATCTCTAGGGCAACACTTGCCAAACTACTAGGTCATAGGCTTTCTTTAAGTTCACCATGCAAACCAGAATTTTCTCTCTGCTTTTCCTCTTTCTACCACACATTCATTAACCACCAAGATTTGATCCACAATCTACCTTCCTTCCACGAAGGCTCCTTGAAAGGGAGAGATTACTATGGGAAGGACCAATTTCAACATCTCGGACAAGACCTTTGAGATGGTTTTATAAAGGCCCTCGATTAATCTTATTGGTATAAATTCTAAAATTGTATCTCTTTTTTCATTCCTCTCTCCAAACCCAAATCCTTCATAGACCATATCATATCTTGTATTTCTTTCTCCATATAACCATTTAGATCTCCTATATAATTCTTGTCATCATTTGGAATATCTTGGATTGATCCTTGTAAGTTTTCCAATATCGTCCTTTAATGTTTTCTTCTTAACCCGCTTAAGGCTCATAAGCACTAATTATGTTAATGGTTTCCTCACCTAAAACAAGTTAAGCAATCATTTAAATGGTATTTTGACTCGGGGCTTCGTTCAAAGGTGGCTCGTAGAATTAGGAATGTAAGATGTTTAACATCACATCAACTATTTGAAAAAATGTGATTGTGATAAATAAAGAAATTGAAAGTTTAACATGCTTGAATTGTTGAGCACTTGGACATGTTTTGTATGCTACGTTTGGTTTTGTTTTTGCATTTTCACTGTCAATATGTTTTATATGCTAAGATTATGTATTTAAGTTTGAGCTGATATGCTTTTTAAAACATTTTGTTTAAAGTTAAATTTTGCATTTTTTATAAATATTATTTTTACTAATTAATTGATTTTGTTTTGATTTTCTTTACTCTTTTTTGCATTTTTAAAACTTTGCACATTGCTTTGAAATTGTATGTGCCTAGGGTGCAAAACATCCGTTGCACTTTTTGTGCATTGTGTTTGTAAAAAGTATTGGTGTAAAATTCTTCTATGTCCAACTCTTTTAACATTTACTCATTTATCAAAAAAAAAACTCTTTCATTTAAAATTTCTTTTTCAGATCTTTATTTACCATTGTTGCTACTCCATTTCTATTATTTACTTCTCCCATGTTCCATAATTTGTAGCCATCAATTTCTTTAGCTTTTTTACCCATCTATTTAGTTTTTTTTTTTAAATATGCAATATTAATCCTTCTCTTCATTATGTCTACTAATTCCATAGTCCTTCCTGTTAATGGTTCTATATTTCAAGTGGCTAATTGAATTTGTGTTTCTTGGATTAACTTCTTTAATTAATTTCATTGAAAAGGATGTGGGTACCCTTACCCATTTTTCACCACATAATTGGGTGTAGCTGTGATGTGTTGCTTCTAGGGAACACCCTAGCATGAGCAGAAAAAGACACTTTGGGATCCATCTCAATCTTTGAGCTGAATCCAATGTGTAGATTCTGTAATTTGTTTTTGGCTTAATAAAAGTATACTGTTATTTATAAAAAATATGTGTAGCTGACAAGGACTGCTTTGTACTACTTTCTTTCTACTTGTACTTTTGGGTAGGAAGGAGCACTTTCATGAATGATACAAGTTAATCATTGATTAAAAAATTGAAATAGAAGTCCTCTCCCCTGTCTTGTTAATGTATAGCTTATACGGTCCAACTTTGAATATGGTGTTTCCTTGATTAATCAAGTAGATGAAACATGCATCATGGCTGGATTGCTTCGTTGGTGATTATCATATTAGAACTTTATTCCCTGTTGAACTACAAAATTGATGTCTCAGTTCTTTAGATTTCTTTTCAGGTATTTTAGGACACCTTGATTTCTTTAACTACTGAAATATAATGTAGTAATAAATCATGTATGATATGTTAACTTCTTTCTTAATCAACTTTAATAACTGCTATGGAAAGAGACATTACGACAATAATGTTTTACAAAAGCAATGATTATTTTCTTATGTTCATTCTTATTAGGTCTTGCTGGTAGAGCTGCACCTAATATGTACTAAATTTTAATCGTGAAGTTAAATTTGGTTTTTGCATTTTTAGATTTATGCAGATACATCTGATTTCTGTTTTTTCTTACATGTCTATACAAACCAATACTTAACTGGGCTTGTGCATGTACATCAGTTTGTGAACATAAAGATAATGCCCTGGAATCATGAAAATTTGGTACAAAGAATTGTTTATTTCTCATACTGTATCTATATTTATTTACTTCCCTACATGTGCAAATTTTTATTTTGAAATAGACAAGGAAATGGATTCCCTCTTTTTCTCTCTGAGTTTTTGTAGTAGTTGCATTTCAGCATACCTCAGTTATATCTTTTCTACCATGTTTGTCATTTAGCACATTAGATAATATTATATTTGACATCTCGTTGTAGGGTTCCTGCATCTAATGTCTATGGACAAGCTGCATCAAATTTAGTTGCTGGTAATAATCTTGAGCAGACTATTCAACAAATAATGGATATGGGTGGTGGCATCTGGGACAAGGAGACTGTTACACGTGCACTTCGTGCAGCTTACAACAATCCTGAGCGAGCTGTGGATTATTTATATTCTGTATGTTTAACCCTTATGGTGGTCTAACTTATGCTTTTCTTTGGTTTAACTGATTTATTGTCTATCCTTTAGGGTATTCCGGAATCAACGGAGGTCGCTGTCCCAGTGGCTCACTTCCCTTCTATTCAGGCACCAGATAGGCCTAACCCAACAAATGACACTGGTGTAGCAGGGACTGCACCTGTATCTGGTCTACCTAATTCTTCTCCCCTCAACTTGTTTCCTCAGGTGGGTTCTAACTTTAATTACTTGTCTATGTATTTTCCTTCTATGTACTTTGTTCTGAGGTAAATTCTTTCACAGGAGACGCTCAATTCTGGTGCTGTTGGTGATGGATCCCTTGATTTCCTCAGAAACAACCAGCAGGTATATTACTATTCTAGATTTATATATACCTTATTTTAAAATGTTTAAAATCCATTATTTATATCTAATGTATAATTTTAATTCTCAACTTATGCATATTTATCTAATTATATATAAACAACACATAGCATAATGTATTAGATTGTTTTTTGGTTTTGTTGTGCATATCCAATGATCTGAATGTCAATGTATTACAAGGAAAATATTACGCAAACAGCTTATCATTTAGAGGCAAATGAAAAAGGTGCTTGATACAACACCATTTTATCTGCTTGAGGGGGGGGGGGCATGACTAACATGTAAACAACATTTTGTGTGCTTTTTTGATCAGCAAGCAATTTATTGATTAATATAAGAAAAGCAATTTATTGATGATTATATAGTGATAGAAGATTATAGAAATGCCGCTTTGATTCACTACTAATTTTTTTCTTTATTTCCCCCCTTTTTGGTGCATTCTAGTTCCAAGCATTGCGTTCAATGGTTCAAGCAAATCCACAAATTCTACAGGTCTGTATGTTCTCCTCAACCTCAAGACATTAGATGCTTTTTTGGAACAATTTTAGAGCTCTAGCCCAAGTGTTTGTTCTGTTACAGCCAATGCTTCAAGAGCTAAGCAAGCAAAACCCTCAACTTCTAAGACTAATTCAGGAGCACCATGCTGAGTTTCTTCAGTTAATAAATGAACCCCTCGAAGGTTCTGAAGGGTGAGTACTTAAGAAAAATTTCAGGAATATTTATTGACAAATATAAGGCATTTAGTCTGACTGCTTGTTTCATGATAGAACACATTTCCTTAGCTTACTCTGAATGGCTTTATTACGGGACTCCCATTCACATTCATGATTTGTTTTAGTGAAGTGAAAACTTGTTGCTTGTGTTAATTTAGTGTCTATATAAGTTCATCTCTTCCTCTTGAAGATGCCTAGACGTTGAAGTATCTGACATGATACAGCACTGTTGCACATGTATCTGGGTATACCTTCACCTTTTACTTGCTGATTGTAGCAATTATCTGGATTCAGGGATCTGTTTGATCAACCTGAGCAAGATATGCCCCATGCCATCAGTGTGACACCGGCAGAACAGGAGGCTATTGAACGTGTATGGATTTTCTTTCTTTGTTTGTGCTTCTTTTTTTTCCTGAATCCTCTTACACCACTTTATAAAGTTTCTTGTTCATATATTTCCAGCTTGAAGCAATGGGATTTGATAGAGCTCTTGTCATTGAGGCATTTTTAGCTTGTGACCGTAATGAGGAATTAGCAGTCAATTACTTACTGGAGAATGCTGGAGACTTTGAAGACTGAATGGTAGGCATTGATACTTATTTCTGAAACTGCATTAATATAGCATGTGTGGTATGCAACTGAATCCTCTGCAATTTTAATCACTGGACATGTAGTCAACACTGTTACTATATGCTTTTAAGCAGGAGCAGAGATGTGGAGGCTTCATTTTTCCTTTGAATGTTATGTAAACCTAACCCTCTGTCAGCCCTTCTCCTAGAGACTAGTTCCCAATTCACCCTGTCACCCAACACTGTTACTATGCTGGATGCACCAGGGTTGCATAGAATGCAATCGTTGAAATTATGTTAATTTGCAATCTTCCAGAGCACTACTTGAAGAACTTGCTGCCTTCTGATGGAAAACCATGCTACAGTCTGCCCACCCCTTAATATATTGTTAATTGTGACCATCTAATTCTTTACATTACCAAAGTCCAATGTGCAACCCTCACTGGGAGAGTTCATCCAAAGATTGTATGTTTTTGTACCTTGTTTTTAAAAAAATTATTGCATTTATCTTGCACCAAAGGGCTCCAAAAAAGGGCTGCCCATGTATGATGCTATATGTTGTGCAACAAGATGTCAAATTTGTTGAACAAGATCAAAGATATTAGGAGGTTTCTAAGATTACCCTGAACGGAGGAAAATACAGTTCTGCACTGAGTAGAAAACTAACAAGTCAAAAAAGGTGGTTTGGGTTTTGTCCACTCTTGAGACAGGGTAGACACAAAGGGGATAGGCACCAGGTTTTCCACCTCTATTGGAGCCTATCACACATCTGAAAATTTGCCTCCAGCAAAAAAGTTTGACCTTTTTTTTGGTACAAAGGGAGAACAAAAAGCTAGGACAACCCTAGCAAAGGACAGCTAGCGTTGTCTGCTTGAAGAATATATCTAAGATCCCACAGTATATAAGCTAAATCCTCATCTTGCAATGAGTGACCTTTATTTGCTATCCAAAATCCAATCTGCTACCTGATTTCCTTACCTATGAATGTGGTCATAGTTGATTTCAAGGCCTATGTCACAAACAATTTGCTTGCATTTTTCCTTCATACTGCTGCATCTCCACGTGGAAGACCTTTTATCTTGCAAGGCTTCAATGGTTGCTTTTGAATCTTTTTCAATGATTATTCTTCTGTTATGGGGATGATTAACCAATCTATGTACTTCCATGGTTGCTCTCATTATTGCAAACATAATTGAACTTACGCTTGCAGAACCCATACTTATTTTAATCACTCTGCCCTTGTGATCTCTTGCTATGCATCTGTAGGCACAGCTTCCATTAGAGGCATCGGAGTGTAGCTTGATTTAATCCTCTTTTGGAGGGATCCACACATTCCAACTGATAGAGGAATTTCTTTTTTCTTCCATCAAATTGTCTTTATTTGCCTTCACATATTCTGTTAAAAAGATGACTGCTTTATGAGCTATATCGGAAGGGTTGTACATCTCATCATTAAAGATTTTAACAATACAATTTTTTCCATAGAGACCAGAGAATAAAACTTATTTTTTCCCAAAAATTTCGGAAGCTCTTACATGTTTTTTGGTCCATTATTTTCACCGACCAGTCAAGCCCTGCTTTTGGAATAAGTAGTTGATCTTCTAAGATAGCCCATGTTTGGATAGCCATCGGGTACTTCATAAAAATATGGTCAGTATCTTCTGAGTCATCACAGAAGAGGTAGTCTTGATCACAATCAAAACCTTTTTTTATATAGCCTGTATTTTGTGGGTAATTTTTTCCTAATAAGAGACCATAAAAAGAATTTTATTTTTGAGTGGCAGAGATTGTTTGGATGGACCAAGTTGCTCTCTTCATTACATTGTTGTCCTCATCCTCATTGTTAAGCATGGCATAAGCTGACTTAACTGCTAAGGTCCCAGAGGGATTATGGGCCCATACTAATTGCTCTTCACATTCTATAGTTGGAAAATGGATAGCCTTCATCTGGGCTGTAATCTCATTTGGGATGATGTCATTTATACTCTCAATGTTCCAGTATTTGGATTCTCTATTAATTACAGAATTTATTGAGATTATTTCTCTCTAAATTTTCATCCCCATGTATAAACCATTCATTTATACTCAATGTTCCAGTATTTGTTTCTTACCCACATCTTTCCATAGATTGCAAGCCACACCGTTTCTAATTTTCCAATCCAAAGCCTGGATGTCAACATATAGTTAACCATTCATTCAGTATTATCATTTTCTCGTATAGGATGTCAACATATAATATATTGTATCATAGCATATTTTATTGGTATTCAGCCTCAGGACTGATGGTGTAATGGCTTCAGTAATGACTTTCAGGGGATATCACGATAGGTGTCCAGAGTTTTTGTGAAAGGGGCACAGCTTCCTCTGTTGAAAATTGGGAAGCACTTGGCACATTGGTCCTGGAAGTGCAGGTGTTATTGCCTTTTTGGGTAGTGAATTCAATTGGTTCATTTGCTGATCTATGAACATGACAATCTTGAGTCTGGAAGAAGGAAAAGCTTGTTTGAGTGCTGAGCTGGGACCGTGCAATGCATTTGTTTTGTGACTATTCTTTACGGTGTTCACAGGTGTATTATAGTCTTTGATAATACTGATAGTAGACATGAATTTCTGTGTTTTCTTTACAAATTTGCTATCTATGATTTTGGTTATCTTATACAGTGCTCAGTGCAAGCCAGGATTAGGCCAAGGTCAGCCATAAGCAGGAATTAAGAGAGACCCGAAAAGTGAACTATTGATATCTTAAATCTTCGTTGTTCTACTTTAGTGGAAAAATCAAATCAAGGATCAAAATTTCGATGCCGATACGTATCGTATCAGGAGGCTCCTGATACGCCCTACAGAGGGCGTGCGTTACAGGGTTTAACCTGGTTCAGGGGGTAGAAAGGCCTTAGACTGATCCCTCTCAACCAGGTTCACAAAAAAGATAAAAAAAAGCTTCGGTAAAGGCCTATATGCCCCTATTGGCGTGTCAGCCGTATCGATATTGTGAACCTTGGAATCAAGAAAGCTTGACTAACCTATATTTATAACATTATCGTCCTGGATTATCAAAACATTTGGCCTAGAAATGGTCATGCCATTGTTTCTGTATTTACAATGAATCCTTCTATCTTTGAGAAAAAGTGAAAAACGTTGAAATGCCTGAAACTGTGGCTCGGGTGGTTGAACTGTCAAACTGTTTGACCCTGGCAAGGGTGTATGGTCATGGTTTTAAAACCGCCGTACACTTGGATCAAGTTCCAAATATCAACATAGAGCGTATGGGCCTGTATTGATACATTTTTTTTGTTGTTTTATTTATTTTTTTGAAATCGGTTCAGAAGGGTCAGTTAAAGGCTTGATCACCTTCTGAACTGGTGGCTGACCTGATACAGCCCCTAGAAGGGGGTATTGGTAAGCCATCTTGTTTAGCCATCTGCACGATACATATCGGCCTATATTGATACTTTAAACCTTAACCTGGATTGTCAAATTATTTGGCCTCATGCCATCTGTATTTGTCTTGAACCGCTATCATGGAGAAAAGCGTTGACATGGCCAGACAACTACCGAATCAGCACTCAGGTGGTTGAACTGTCAAACTGATTGACCAAACAGTAGCAGGGGTTTACGGTTTGATGTTAAAAAACGTGGTGCTATCTTCTCATTCCCTTTTCTGCCGTAGCTCGGATGAGATGTAAGTTTTATCTCCATTTCTTCATTTTTCATCTTTTTTTTTTCTTTCTTTGAATACTTACGGGCGTCGTTTATTTTTGGGTAAATAAGGCCAAGTAAATTGGTGACCAATTTAATTGTGTTTCTTTTGCACTATTGCTCGTCCCATGTAAATGAACTCGAGAGTAACTCGTACCCTCGATCGACTTGGCTAAGTAACTTGCATTTGTAACAGGCTTTTTGACTGCTTGGGCCAAAGACCACGTTTACCTGTGTAAGTGTGCAGCATATGTGAATACAGAGAATGCAGTTACTTGTGTAAGTTTAACTTGGAAAACACTTACCCAATTAATTAAAAAGGAATGAGGTAAAAAGAGAAACATGGGGTAAATAATCAACTGAGGGGAGTGAACGATGGAGTGCCATGGACAGAAATTTTGAAACTGGATGTCAAAAACTACTCTCTTTTTTCCTACCTTTTTTTTCTTGTATTTTTAATTTTTGCACTTCTTCTCAAATTTTATTTAATTTTGCATTTTTTCTGCATGTTACTTATTATTATTATTATTATTATTATTTATCTAAAACTTGCCATGATGTTTTCTTATTTCTCTTAAACTGGCCATGACTTTTTAAAACCTCCAGAGTGCTTTATCAGTAAGTTTTATTATTTAAAATTCACCTTACTTTTATTAGATTATCATTAGAGAATGGTGATTATTAACTGAAGTTGTCCACATAAGTTTTTAAGCATATTACATGACCAAATTACCCTTAAATGGCCAGTCAAGCTTATTAATATTTTTCTATGACAATTACCCCTCACTCAGGCCGGGTCATTTAGGGGTAGTTTGGTCATATAAATACTTAAATGCTTACATGAACAATTATGTATGATCATTAAGGTGATCTAACGGAATGTAAGTTTGGACAAAAAAATTCACAAACAAGGGGTTTTCTAAAGGTTTTCAAAAGTCATTATGAATTTAAGAGAAATGTGAAAAAGTCCCACGTTGACCCACTTGACCTAACTGATTGAATTGGTAACCCTAAAATCACAGGCAGTGTGCTTTCCATTTCTTAATTGGTTTAAAAACCCTTGTTGGAAAATACTGTTGTGGACCCACTATTGGGCGTCTGTCATCTAACACTTTGATACGTATGTATAAAAAGATATGAACATATTTGGATAAATCTAAGAATTGCATTATTAATATAAATCTAAGAATTACTACGATTATAAATACATAAAGAATCAATGACTAAGTAGCTGAGACACTACCATATAATTAATGATCAAGCCTATGTAAATACAGGCTCTCCGTAGTAAGGTTAGTGGTGCATCCTACTCTCTCCCCACTCTTCAATCCCCTTTTAATATACTATATGTATGTAATTTTGTATATTAGAAAAATACATAAGAAACTTATACTTTAATAATTTATTTTTATATGATGAAATATATTAGAATTGATAATATCAAGAGTCTAGGATACGTATATCATATAACGACTTTAGTAAATTATACATCAGTCAATATATTATAAAATTAATCTGAAGATACAGCAGATACATGAAAATGTACAAGATCAATAGATCAAAAAGTCCATGACACAAATCAAAAAATAATTGTTTTAAGTTATATAATCAGTTTTTCTATATTTTATTCTTTTTAATTATGTAAGCTACCAAAAAAAATCAAGTCAATGGGTTTAACTTCTTAAAAATTACTAAATGTAAATTAAATCAATTTTGTAAATAATATATACATTATTGTTTTTTGTAAATAATCAATATACTATTATTTGCAAGTATATTATAGTCAATATACTTGTAAATAATCAGATCCATTAGAATTTCTAAGATGCATATGTAATTCATAACTTTGAATATATTACTACAACAATTGTTCTGCTTTTATTATTTTTATCACTAAATGACCAAATAAATAAAAAATCACTTTGTAACAGAAGTTATTGATGGATCAAGGGATTTGATTGATCATTCATAGATCCTTCTTATAGTTCTTTTTTACTTTTGATCGATTAAGAAATCAATATATCATTGTATTTCAAACACCAAAATAAATATGTAGACATACCATTAAAGAATCAAATGAAAAAAATGCATTCTTCCTCTTACTCTTGATTCATGTGAGCCTTTGTTTTTTAAAATTTTTAGACCTCAAGTGTTTTTTAAAATGGAAACTCTCCCATGCAAGTAAGAAAGTGAAACCAGAAAATATAAATCATTTCACCAGTGGATGAGATACTTTAAACCTTGGTTACCAGTGGATGAGATGACTAGAAGTTCATATTTCTACATTATGCTTTTGACTAGGTTGTACACTGACAAAATAAAATTCATCAAAATTCAGAAAGGTGGTTTTGATTGGTCTAAATCTCAAACACGAAATCTCCCCTTATCATACACACCCACTCTCATGTTTGAGAGGTTGACCAATGAAAACCACCTGCGTGAATTTTGATAAATTTTAATTGGTTATTACAATTTAGTGCAGCAGAACCGGATTCGATTAGAAGATGGTAAAAGAAAATTCTCAGATATTGTAGCCGATATCCTTGCACTGCAACATTGTGGAACTCAAAGCCAAAGAACTCCTTAGTAGTTATATTGTTTAATTTGAGAAGTCGATGGCTTGCTACATTTGAAATTAAAACAAAGCAATGTTCAAAGTATCGATACATATCAGTACTTTTTTTTAGGTTTTACTTATTTTTTTTGAAACCGGTTCGAGGGGTCGGTTTAAAGCCCGGTCACCCTCTGAACCAGTGCCTGACCCGATACAATTCCTGGAGGGACATTTTAGGAAGTCATCGGCACGATACGTATCAGCCGATATGGGCTAATAAGTATTGATACTTTGAACCTTGGAACAAAGTACAATTCTCCATTTATTTTAAACTCTCATTGGAAATTAAAGGGTAAAACAGTTTTCTTCACCACTAGATGAAGAGAGAGGCAATCTTTAGAAAACAAGTAGTAAGCATTTCTAGATGCTTAGCACATGAAATATCGCCAGATGAGAATTCTTGCAATAAGCTTCTCAGAAACATTGTACGCTGGGCAGACAGAGAGGTCCTATATAACCATAGAGACCCAACTTATTCCAGCACCCCAAACTGCTATATATAAAACAATACTACAGAAATTCTAAATAGTTGCAGAGAAAGTTGGTGGTAATGATTTCCTTCTTCATCCATTAATGGCTCTACATGAAGTACGTACTTCTCCTTCATCGCCTGTCTTCACACCTACGCTACTAAGCTTCAGAAACGACTCTGTCCATTTCTCAAAAAACATATATTGGCTATCGGAGAACTCCTCTACTTTGGCCTTTGTTCGTCCATCACTAAACAAGACTGAATCTGACTGGAAGAGCCCCTTGTGGGAAATGAGGTTCCGATAATACTGGTTGTCAAACAAGAGGGACGTTTCGGGATCATTATTGACAGTTATGGACTTGTCAACCCCTGCTGGGCACTGCTTTATCAGCTCATTGGCATAGATTCTGTCTAATGATGCGTCAATGGGCGTCAGGTTCCCTTTGGAGTCTTCTTGGAACCGATCACTAAATGAACTGCAATGTGCTGATCCTATTGTGTGAGCTCCTACAGAACTGAACCATGAGGAGATGGACCATAGATACAGTCATGGTGAAAATGGGAATGACATAAATTTGGAGTCTTCTCCTGTTATCACGGTTTTTGATCTATAATTTAATGGTTTCAAGTAGATGATCCTTCAATTACCAATTGGGTAGTAATAATTGTCTGATATGGACATGGATTCCTGCAATTTTCTCTTCTCCTGGCGACACACGGTTTTAGAATTTAATGGCTTCAAGTAGATGATCCTTCAATAATTACCAACTGGGTAGTACTAACTATTTTTGATCATCATCATAACTGTTTGATATCTACTTCAATTGCCAACTCTGGTTGGCAGTGGAATCAGAATCAGAATGGTTATTCCCTTGCCTGTTTGGTTAGACAGGAATCGGAATTGGAATACCTTAGAATGGGATTCCCATTCCCAAGGGAGGGGAGAGAATGACCATTCCCTCAAATGGGGGAATGCCATTCTACCAGGAATGGGAATTGGATTCCATTCCACCCAATCAAACAGTTGGAATTGGAATTGCTTTCGATTCCAGACCCTATTCCTGTGAACCAAATGGATCCTTAAATAAATAAATCAGTCAATGTGGGTTTGATCAAAATGGTGATCAGAGTCCAATATGTGGAATTTCTGGGTGCAGGAGCCGCTCTATATAAGAGGCAAGCCATTGATTGAACTGTGTAATTCATTGTGAAAGTAGGCTATGATTGGAGTATTAGGCAAATTAGATGCAGAATGGGTTGCATAGTTTGTGTACCTGAAAGAGTGACAAGGTCTTCTAGGGATAACCCTTTAGAGGAGAAGAGTTCAAGCATCTCATCCATGGTGAAACTAGTGTCCACTATGTTGGGTCTCACATTAGAAACCGAAGACACTCTTCCATCTCTCCTACCTGTAGGAATCTGAATGGATGGTCCTCCAGCCTGTGTCAGATGACCCTCATCAGTTTCTTCACCATTAATCCTTCAATCCTATTTGAGTTTGAGTGAGTTTGAGAGAGAGAGAGAGAGAGAGAGAGAGAGTACAAATTCAACAGCATCTCTTGCAGCTAGAGCAAGGATATCCGCACAAGAAACAGTTTCTGGGCAGAAGAGTTCAAGCAAGCCTTTGGCTGACTCCACCACGGAGAATCCCCCAAGCGATGCATTGGCTGGATCACTCCTCTCTGTCTCATTTCCTTCCAATAGCACAGAACCATCACAACCCTATAAGGTAAAAATGCAGCGTTACAAAAAGGGACAGTCCCAGAAATCGGATTTTTGGATCAGTTGAGATTCACTGACCTCCACCATGCAATCATGGAACAGTAACCGGAGGAGTTTTGCAGGGATTGTTGGATCATCAGTTGAAGCTGACCTCAGTGTGTTTTTCACCATGGCTTCTGCTGTTGGGCATGAAGCTGCATAGAAGTCGAAGAGGAGACCAGAAGAAGCAGCCAATACCCCTAACTGGAATGGAGAGGTAAAGAGAGTAAGGATGAGAAGGATGTGGAGAAGAGCAGATGGAGAAAAGATTAAAAGCTTTGGCTCCATAAACAGAAGGTTTGAAGAATCTGCGCAAGAGAGCAATGTGCACTCCGAGTTTCTTTTACTTGCACATTACTGTACAGTACACAGCAAGAGAGAGAGAGAGAGCGATTAATGGCTACGTACTCGTCTATATTTAAAGGTGCATTTAATCAAAAGATCCTCTGAAGTAAAGGTTCATTACTGTACACGGCAGGAGGTAGATGGGTTTGGTCTCAGTAAAAGATCGTCTGAAGTAAAGTTCTGGACATGCAGTTAATTTCTATTTTGGAGAAAGAGAGAAGGAAATTTCTCCTTTAGTATAATCAAAGCGTTGAAAGTTCCAACCAGCTTTTAAGAGCCTCAAATGGCAATTATTGGACGGTCACCACCCAGATCATTCGATCATCAGTGGGATCTTAATTTGTCTATCTGTTGCACATACTCTAAAGAGTCTAATTTATGAAGAACAATGTTACTGAAAATGCTACAACACAAAATACTACAAATCAAAGCTCAAAATTAGTTGCAAAAATGCTACAACACCAAATATTCTCAGATAAATCTATCAATCAATCGCATATGTTCCTGAACTACAAATAAGAATAAAACTCAACACTCCAAGGTTGCGTGATCCAGTAAAATTCAATATCTAATATAAATGCACCAGATTCTCCTAGATTCGCTCACATTTGAGATCATGGCTATTTCCGCTGATACAAGTTTCTCTGCTTGTTCTTCTAGACCAGAAACTCCTCCCTCTTCCACCTTACCGCTTTCTAGCCTTTCTAACTGTAGGGGGAAAGGAGATAAGGTGACGAGGGATCAAGTTCTGCAGCCATCGCAAGGTCAAGAAAACAAACTCTGTTGCAGAACCAAACTCTGTGAACTCTGTTCAAGAATTGTCTCTGTTTTTAACAAGAAGACAAGATCACAGGAATACACTGACACGGCAACAACTGTCTCAACTTGAAGCAGCGATCAACAAATCTTCTCAGCGACCAGAAGCGCAGATCTCTTAAAGAACCATTCAACCTAAAAGCTTAAACTCTTAGGTGAGGTCTTTGAATTACCATCTCATAGAACCTAAAAGCTTAAGCTGAACAGGAGAATAGAAAAGGAAAATGGAAATGTGGTGTTTTATTTCACGTTTGAATATATATATATATATAAGGGCAAATTTTTTTAACTAATTGTAAAGTTTAGGAAATTGATTAACTAGTATATCCCTATTGTTTTAGTATTGTCTTGTATCTACTGTTTCTAACAATTGCCATCATTTAATGGAAAAAATAAAATATCAAATTTATCCTCCACTATTTTTCAACTTTTGAAAATAAAATCCAACTGTTGAATTTTTTAAAACCTAATATTACTCTTCGTCCCTCTTCTGCTGGGTAAGAATCATCGTCACAGTGTTCCTTCGCTACCTTCACCCTCACAGTGTTCATCGTCCTTTGCACAGTTCTATATCGAAGCTAGGTTTTTCACTAAAGGCCATGAAGAAGAGGGGGTATTCGTCCGAATCGGAGGGATCAACACTCATAAACGGAATAAGCCTCTAGCCTCCTTTATGTTGAGAGGTAGAGACCAGAGAGTAAAGAGTGTTTCCATCCCCACTCTAAAAGAAAGAAGCAATTAAAATAAAAAGAGCCAAAAAGTGATTTTTTTCATGGATATTAGCATTCACGATGAAAGAGCATCCCCACCTCTGAAAACCCTAATTTTCTCTGTTTTAAATTTGGTAGATACCAGATTCTTTGTCGAGAAATCTTGTTTAATGGCGGTTATTTCAAGCTCTTTGGTTCGCGGATGCTGAGGATCGATTGACTTTGAATTGAGAGAGAGAACAGATCTCCCCTCCATGACCATACCCCATTCTCCACACACCCTCAAATCAGCCCCATAACTATAACATCACCGCCTATTTATTAGTCAGTCCCACTACGGATTTCTCTATTTGGATGATTGAGTAAAGAAGAACTATGAAGCAACAATCAGTTCACTACACTCCATCAACCAAAACTGTTGTTTAGGAACTTTTACACCATTTCCGATGACCAACTGACTTGTATTTTGTATTTTGACTCATCGTTGTCTCCTCTCTACAAGATGCTTAGAGAAACATTGACACAAGGGATCCAATCCATCATCTTCCAAGCACATTCGCTGCTGGGTTTTGGGTCGCTGTTGGGTTCTGGGTTCAAGGTTCACACCAGATTTGTTTGTTTTTATTTCACAGTTCTCTATGCTGCTGCTGCCATTGGCCATATCTGCAGATAGAAAGAAGCAACCGGCTCTTGTTTTTGCCTGCCAGAGGTGGAGATGATGAAATAGGGGAGAGAGAACAAAGGGGAAGAAGAAGGAGAGAGAAAGAGGTCAGAGGTGGAGGGTCTGCTGCTGTAAGATGAAACAAGGGAGAGAGCGAAGGGGAAGGGGAGAGAGAGAGAGAATGAGTGAGTGAAGGGTAAAATTGAGTTTTAAAAAAATTATATGCCACATGGTGTTAGGAATTTGACAGAATATTAACAGATGATAACGGTGAGGGTAGAACTACAATATGGGTACTTTAAGACAATACTGAAATAGTAGGAGTATAATTAGTCAATTTCCTAAACTTTAGGGGTAGTTTAAGAAATTTGCCCTAACAATTAACCATCTTATCAACTTGGCCCATTTGACCTGTATTTTGATCCACGTGTCTTACAGTTGTAACAATTTTAACAAACTCAAGTATTGCCTTTCCTCCTACAGCTTTATATGGCCTTAAACAGGCCCCATGGTGTTGGTTTGAGAAATTTGCTACTGCCCTAAAAAATATTGGGTTTCAGTAGTCTATGACTGATTAGTCATTGTTCACATCCTCTCAGAGTGAATCATTCATTCTTTCCTTATTTATGTGGATGACATAGTGATGGAATGACCCTAGTCATATCACCTAAGTAAGTACTGAACAGAACCGGAATTGATCCAATTATATAGGGTTCGGGTGTGTGCATTAGGCATCCCAATTATAATTGGGTCGAGATTGGTTTTGCATGTTTGAACCGATCAAGACCTGCTATCGGTTGTCTAGAGTCAAGAATTTAAAGATCTAGGGATTTAAGCATACCACCATAACTCCCACCACCTACATTCATTTACTCCATCCTATTGATTGGTTTGTTACTTGGATTCAGTTTAGATTTCACATATTTAAATCATTTATAGGTAAACGAAATTATGGTTAAAGATACTCGTCTAAAAAGTAAGACAATAAAGCACTACTTAGAAAAAAAAGAAAACAATACATGGCACATCTATGATGTGTATTTCCCACAACCCAAACTAAAGAAGTTGACTTAAGAATTTCAGGAAATGTTAGTTAGACATCATAAAGAGATGGCAAGCAAGGACTTAAGGCTCCATTTGGAAGGAGTACAAATATAAATATGTATAGTGTAAATACACATGTACATATTTGTATGTGTATTTATACTGTACATATTTGTATTTTTACTCCTTTCAAATGGAGCCTTAGGCTGTGTTTAGAAATGATGCAAATAAGTGTGAATGCAAATATGTAGAGTGTAAAACAGTTCATATAAATTGTAAAATTGGGTTAGTTTTGCATTGACAAAATTACCTTCTTACTAAATAGACATTTATTTGTAATGGATGCAAACATGAATTCTAATAAAGATTATGCTTTTTTTTATATCAAAAGCCCACTTGAATGCAAATTTACTTCTTTTTTATTGATGTACTTTTACATCTTATTATCAATGTAAATATGCATTGATCTGTCATTTGTCAATGCATAAATTTAATGTTGCCAAAAACAGGCAAAAGTGAACCAAAGTAATTTACCCTGAACCAGGATTTACACTCCATTTGCATCGTTTCCAAACATAGCCTTAGGGATAATTAACCCCAGTTTAAATGAAGACAACCGTTAGAAAGACCTCTTTCAGTTTCCAGGTGAGCAGCTACTTATCAAGATTCAAGAACTAAGGCCCCATTTGGTTCACAAGAATAGGGGTCCGGAATCAGAATCGTAATGGGCTATTCCGATTCCAATTGTTTGGTTGGATGGAATTAAAATTCCAATACCATTCCTGCTGGAATGACATTCTCCCATTTAAGGGAATGGCCTTTCCCTGCCCCTCCCTTGGGAATGAAATCTTATTCTTGTTGATTAAAATTCTCATTCTCATTCCTGTTTGAACCAAACAGACTATGTGAATAGACCATTCTGATTCCAATTCTGAAGGATTTTGATTCCAATTGTGAACCAAATGGATCCTAATTTCCTTTAGAAAAAAATTGTTCCATTTAAAGAACTGAGGAAAGATTAAAATAAATAAACAAAAGATTATACCTAAGGCTCTGTTTGGTTTACAGGAATAGGGGTTTGGAATCAGAATCAGAATGGGCTATTCTGATTCCAACTGTTTGATTGGGTGGAATCAGAAACCCATTCCCATTCCAACAGGAATGGAGGAAGACTTTTAAGGGAATATTTGTGGGCCCCGATAATAGAAGGGAGAGTTACGAAGAAGACTTTTAAGGGAATTGGAGATAACATAGATAAAAAGTTAACTGGATGGAAAAAAAAATCACTGTCATGTAGAGCTACCCTTATTAAATCCTCTATAAGTGTGATGCCCTAATGTATAATGCGGATATTTAAGCTCCCAAAAACTATGGTGGAAAGTGTAGAAAAAAACCAAAGAGAATTTGTATGGAATCAAAAGGAGAAAAAAACCTTAAACCTTGTGAAATAGAACACAGTCTGTAAACCAAAGAAGAAAGGTGGTTGGGGATTAAAAAAGCTCCATTGGGTAAATATAGTGAATTTAGCTAAATTGTGATGGAAAATTTTAACCCATCCTAATAATCTTTGGGTTCAGGTGATAAAGAGTAAATATTTGCGAAATGAGAACCTATGGGAAGCTAAGTCTAGGAACAATATCTCATGGGTATGGAGGGAAATCTTAGATAGTAGAGAGATTCTAAAGAAAGTAGTTGGATGGATCGTCAGAAATGGTAAATCAATTCACTTTGGAAGGACATTTGGGTTGGAAATTCCCCCATTAGAAGTAATTTAAACTTAAAACAATGAAGAAGAT